TCGGTTAATTCTATCGACTAACCATGGCCGCCAAGACAGTACAACAATATAGTATTGTAGCGTTCGGTTTCCAGGTCGTCCTATGCTTTATATGCATAATATATATACGGCAGATTTCTAGACGGTTTCACTTGTTTATTGCGTTAAGCCCCGGTACTGTTTGCCGACGTCGAAACTGCTGCCAAAGTAGACTTAAAGTTTTGATAATAACGTTTGACGATCGGTGGAGCGACAGAAAGTTTTATCGAAGACCTCTTTGAAGTCACAGCTCATAAAGCACGTGATCCGTGTCCGACGGAGCTCGGTGCGCCGTACGGTAAGACCCGGCAAAGCTTTAGACAAAACTGCTCGCTTTCTCTCTCTCTATAAATATATATATTTTGACACCTATGAATTGATTTATTATATAGGCTTTTTACGGATACACCGGTCGGCTAACGCAGTAATGAATAGCCGGGAAACATAATGATAGCGTCTGCGATTACGCGGTACCCAATTTCGCAATATTCAATATACGGAAAGTACAATGGCCCCCCGGGAGTTCATACATTATATGGGATTTCAATCGCATTTATAAAGCTCAAAGAACGACAGTTTTATAAGGCCACACTCGACTACATTGGTTTAATGCCATTTATTCTGTGTCGCGTGTACAAGACGGGCGGCGGCGTGCAATGCCCTCTCCTGTTTATACTACCGTCCTCTTTGCAGGTCTCGAGCATCCGACCGGAGAATAAAGAAAAAAAAAAAAATTCCCAATGCATTGTCCGTTGGGGCTTCGTTCAACTCCTCGGTGTTTTCTTCCGCCCGACCGAGTCCACGCCGCAACCATCATTTCCATATAATATCCGAGACAAAACGTTTCTTTTTTTTTTGTCGGTCCATTATCGATCCGGTCGTCGGTTTCTTTTTTTCGCCTCCCCGCTAATTTGCAAAAGTGTAAAAGTAAATAAAACCGAAAGCGCCGCTTTTAATTCCTTATCCGTTTTCGGTCGGCGACAGTTTTCCATTTTAGAACCGACCGACGTGGGCGGGCGTCGGAGAGGTCGGTAAACGCGGCGACGGCTTAGCGCGCGGTTTAGTCTCGGAGAAAAAAAACAGTAGATAAGGATGACACGCCGCGTGCCACCCTAAGGAGGTTATTACACACAATGTATATTACACCCACCGGCTCGTGGACCGGAGATTAACGGATCTCTGCCGGAGAAAATGGCGCGCCGGGATGAATGCGAATCCATTTCACCGCTGCGGCTCAGATATGCGGAATGATAAGAAAAAAGACAGCACCCGGGCAAGAGCTTGCTGCTGCGACGCGCTTAAGGGATCTTTAACCCTGGCCGTCTTGATCATTTTTCTCAACAAAAAGCACTATGGCGAAAATATACACCACGGTCATTTACATTTTTTGAACACGCACACTGTCTACTGTAATGCCGGCCCGGTCGTTTACCCGCCAACAGCGCAGCATCGTCTACGCGGCTGAACCCTGCGGATTTTGTTTTGCACGCGATAATGTTAATTTTCTATTATCCATACAATTATTATTGTGCACGTGCCCCCCCCCACCTCCCCGACCGTTCGGCGAGTATTATACCCATACACGTCTTCACACAGCAAGAAGGTCGGCAGAAATTCATAAACGTTACCACCGCCACGACCGCACTGAGATCCATCGCCACCGTTTGCGGTCGTTTATTCGGAGCTTAGGGTCGCGGTTTGTTCGAAACAAACCACCCAGATCCGTTCGACCAGACCGACGGCATGCTATTTCCAAGTTATGCATTAACGTGGGTTTTTCCAAAGGTTTAACGGTGAAATATAATTGTAACACGTGTGCGTACACGCTAAATAATTACTCGTGTGTATGCATGTGTTAATTAATTGTAATGTCCGACCCGAATGGGAATGGTTAAAAACGCAAACGCGGTGCTCCGAGTTGAAATTATTAATTTTGGTTGTTTACGTTACACGCGGATGTGTTAACGCAGAAAAAATAAACTAGAAACGACAATTATTGTTGGGAAAATATCGCACATTCCACTTCCTAGTCAAAACGTATTTTATTATTATAAATTAGTTATTTTTTGTTTTGTTTGTTACTTGTTACTCCCTGAATCTTAAACTCTGTAATCGCATATAATACAGTTGTCTCTATAGCGGATTATATTATATTAGTCCATTGCTTCAAATGCCATTGATACATAAGCGTTGGTGCTGATTACAATAATCTTCAAGCACAATATTCAGTTAACGGTATTATATTACCTTTTTCAATAAACTCTGACGATTGAATCACTTTATTGATTTATACCAAACGTTTGAGTTAAATTCAGTAATCAAATTTATTTCCAGAACTACTGTTGGCTAGTTCAATCTACACGATCTCAATAGACGATTTTCGACGACGGTTGTTTACTTCACTAGACTACAGCTAAGTGATTTTCTGTCGTTGCAATCACTTTCCAGTCAGCGTCAGCGCGTATCCTTGCTAATTCAATTACTTTAGCTAAATAAGTCAACATCAAATCAAGCGTTTCCGTAATGTTTTATGTGTATCGGTATATCATGATACGCACTTTCAGTAATTCCGATACTCGTTGATGGAAAACAATTGTAAAGTAAAAAGAGTAAACAATTGAATTAAGTGCAAAACTTCAATCTGGACGTATCAACGAATAACTAATGGTATTATCAGTTTACTTGTTGTCTTAAAAATCAGTTTACAATTAATTGGAGATAAAAAATTTGATTAAAACTTTATATTTACATCCAATTTCGCAGTTTTCCCTGATGATAAATGATTACACTGACCTTATACAGTTAAGCCCAACGGAGTGACCTGATACACCATCTTTATTTTTAAAAACATATTTACGGCCAAATGTTTTTTTTCTTTTTGTCGTATATCAATGCTTTAAGTGTTCACGTACCGCTTTAGTTAAGTGACGTGATTTTCTCCTCCGTAACTTATCTCGAAAATATATTCCCGGTATTCCATCCGTTTCCTGTTGCTCCAGGTAGGTCTTTTGCAACTAAGTGATTCAATTTTATGGGTATTTTGATGTGCAACTATCTACAGTAAATTCGAAACTATGACCATCAAGGGTCTCGTTATATTCTTCTGTCATGTTCGCTTTTCTTTAGACAACCTCTTTTTCTTTTCTTCCTTCTACAATTTATACTGATTTCATTTGGGTCCGGCAAGCGCACAAAGAGACAGCCCTTAAGTTTCTCTACGTTCTATATTAAATGCTGTATGTGACATTAACCTGCCATTATTGTTTGGTCCAATACGAGCGCGCGCCACCCTTGGTTTACTCAAACAACCGTAAGTTTGTCTGCAGCCAACACAGCCTTAATCACGGTTACTGTTTTATTAAATATAATATATTATTAAAACAATGTCTGTAGTTCAGTGATCTTCAGTAGTGTCAACAGACAATTATTTTGGTCTCACAACTTTGTAAAGTCTGATTTAACAATGCTATATTGGTTTGTTACGGACAGAGTTTATTACATGTAAACCGCCATTTGATTTCCTACATATTTTTTCGCACAATATTCTGGCTTCATACATTATATTATATAATGTGCGGATAAACTACATATTATGTGAAAAAAAAACAGTTACCGTTATGAGACTTCCGAGCACGTATACACTTATAGATTAAACATAAAATAATGTTACAAAAACTAAAGTGAATAATGCGATTAAAATAATATAACCGTAGCGTAAAAGTACTCGAGAAAATAAATTATTACAAATAGTTGAAAACATAAAAAAAACATTACTCGTTAAAAACTAAAAGAAACTTTTTTTGCCTACGTGATAACTCAAGCTAAAGCGTATAAAATAATACCGGTAAGAATTGTGTATGACTGGTATAAAAAGTTGCTTACATTAATTACAGTAGACTGACAGTAATATGAATTAACGTTCGTGTTTTAGTGTTTTCCGCGTAATGAAATTAATTTTCAATTTGGTAATTTATATTTGGCCCAGGCAATTCATTTTTGTCAACACTAAAGTCTTTATACAACATTTTGTATTGTGTAAATTACTGTGTTAAATGTTAATTTATGAGTATTCAATCTACCGTTTATTTGAATTAACTACTAAGTGAATTATATTATTAAAAACAAAAATGCTCTTTAATATTTAGTTTTATCGGTTTTTTTTTAATAAAACAATTTAAATGACACGTAGTTATAACGTAACACGTCTTGATTGGAATAATAAACTGTCTTGATAATAACTATTCTGGTTAGATAAATTGTTCCTAGTCATATTATTGTAAATTTGAAATAAAAGAACCTAATTTTACAAACTATATATGTATTTCTACATTCAATAGTTAAATTTTAAAACTTACTCTTACTCAAAAGTTTGAAAAATTCTCGAACGCTGTGTACAAATATATAAAAGTCTTACAATTCAATAACATTTGTTTTATAACTGTATTGGAAAAGTGTACGACTATAATTCTCAAAACAAATGTAAGGCTAATGAGTAATGCATAATACAAATATTCGGTATATTAAAAAAATTATATATTTTAGTCACAGATAAACGAAAGATGTTTGTACTTATTAATTTAAATTAGTTCTTTTAAAATTTTATCATCGAGTCCTCGGGTCGTTTAATAAAAAAAAAACTAAAAGCCAAAACAAATGAAAGAAGAAGAATAAAAATAGTATTTCACATTTATTTATGATACATAAACGAATGAGGATCGGCCGGAAGAAATTATATAAGTTGTTACTAGCTTGTCGGAAAAAGAACAATTTATTTTTGTATTATGAGCATGGATTGTTTTTGCCGGTTTTTATGAAGTATTGCGAAAACAGCAGAGCAGGATAAAACGTATATGGCGTTTTAATCCACTTCCATCCGGTTTAAAGCTGTTCTTTCGTTATTATTGAATTTGCACACGATTTTAACGTCGTCAATTCAAAGTCATAGTCCTTAATTTTATCCTTTTTTTTCTGGTTTTTTACAGAAGTTTTTGGCCTTACCGGCGTGCGAATTTGGAACCCGGAGGCCATTCGCGCCGGAGAAACGCTGCGTCTGTCTTGCGACTACGATTTACAAGGAGTGCCGTTGTATTCGATAAAATGGTACTTTGGCGACGAGGAGTTCTACAGGTACGTGCCCAAGGAATCGCCGCCAACCAGGGTATTTCCTTTGTCGAGCTCGACATCCGTTGACGTGAGTATACCTTCAAGTATTTGAAGGGTCCGGTGCAAGAACCGCTGCTATATCTCCATTTTTTTAAAAATAATTGTTCAGGACGGTCAAAAGAGAATCCATTGTCTCATTTACATTGGCGAAATAACATTTCCATAAACATTTTTCTATAAAAAAAAACAGTTTTTGATAAAAAGCGGATATAGCCGGTTCTTTCACCGGACCTTTCATTTGATAATGCCCCGAGGACAATATTTTATTGTTCCAAAGGGACTGCTTAGGACGTCACTAGATTATTTACCTAGCTCTGGTAGCAATTTTTTCTATCTGGTCGAGGTTAGCGTTTTGAGCGTATTAAGCGTTTTGATGGTCGATTCGATACTCGTAAAGAACACCAAAAGCAAGCCAACGATTTTTATTCTCCAAGAGTCAGTTGAAAATCAATACCGTTTAATATGATTTGTTGATTTTATTTTTTATCAAGTATATTGTTTTTCTAACGAATATTAACTTAGAGCATGTTATTAATATCAAAACCCTACATATCATAACCACAACACAAAAAAACGTCTAAGTAAATGACATGAAATTAGGGAGAGGGGAGAAACTAATAGGAGATATTATAATACTAATAAGAATGGTGATTAATAGGAACTAGCTGATTATCATATTGTATGTTTTATTATTTTAAAAGTATTCTAAAAGCTGTTTGTTTTTTCATAAATAATATATTTACTTCCTGTTCATCATTTTCTATCGTTTTACTAATTTATATTTTGACAACTTATATGTAATCAAAAATTGGCCTTTTAGCCTCCATAGAGAAACTAGTAAGCTTCACATAAAAAAATAATATTGATACGCTAGAAAATGACTTCTGCGAGTCATTTTTTATCAAACTTACACCACTGACAACGGCTACTGCCCATCCTTTGCATCTTAATAAATATCTTTTTCCGTTTCCCTCAATGTTAAGTTTTTTTTGTTTCAAAATGCATCCAATTAGTATCGGAAAAATGTAAATATTTTTTCAAAATTAGTAATTTAAATGTAAGTCTCTTATAAATCAATTTAGAATTCAATTTGAACTATAAATCTACTGTATTATTGACTTTCAAGAATTAATTTCAAACGTTATTTTATTAATGGCGATTTTCCATACAAAACATTTTCCTTATCAATTGAAATCGATACGTCTCTCGTATTTGTGAGCTTAAAGCTATTGCAGATTTGTCCCCATTCAAAGGATACAAGGTTTTTGTTGACTACAAAAGAGACCTCCCGGGCAGAGTTTTCGGAGAAACTCAATTACATTATGCTTTACACCGTTTCAACTTCAATCAGATATTCGATAATCATAATACATGCGGCGGTGTTAGGTATAGAGTATTATACTGTTGTATACATCAAAGTAAACCGTTAGTATCAATTATGCATACTATGTTTCATGTTTGCTTTGTTAACTATAAAAACAAAAGTTAATACCAAAATAACGCATTTGACTTAACAAAGTAAACTGTTTAGTATAAATAAACTCTAATTAGTTCAATTAAAAGAAAACAAAAGATATTCCTTGTTATATCTACATAAAATATAAATAGTTTTCTTATTACTGAGCAATAACCGCTATTTACATAATCAAAGACTTAATTTGTTCTGATATGAATTCTGAAATGTTGAAACTTAAAGAAACAAAAACTTAATATCCGAATATCATTTTTCAAAGTGTTTTAGAGCTTTAAATAATAGTGTCATATTATTTAAATGTATTTATTATTTATAGGTCTCATATTTGAAGTTATAATTTGTTTTTCATTTAAAATTAAAACCTACATATTATTTCTGAACCAATTTAGGATCTTCAGAATAACTAATTTTTTTTAAAAAAATTTAAGTAAAATGTTAACAGATTTGTTAATTTACACAAAACGCATAAAACGGCAAAAAAAACTATTGGGGAGTATTGGGAATTAGCGAAGAAAGCCTGTTATACTAATTATTTTCTTTTGTTTTCGCTGAAACGTTGTTGTAGACAATGTAATAATTTAAAAAACTTACAGAAGTATTGGAGAACGATATTATTTTTTTAATGACCAAGTGATTTAAAAAAAATATATACCAGAGCAATAACATTTTAAAAACCTCAGTTTTTAGTTATTAAAATAACAACAGTATATTTTTAATAAAACTCGTAAAAAATATTATACAATTTTAGTACTTAGCGGGAAATGTTTTCAAACTATTTTAACGACAATTTTGTATTGTTAAATCTTATTTTTTCAGAAAAACTCGTACAGTTGTTTCGAAAACATGTATTTTTTTGGTTTTTTTTTTCACTGTATGAGAAGCATTAAGAAATACTAAACGTCGGCACTCAACAATAATAATGATTTAATTATTTTTGTGAACGCAACGCGGTTTATTATTTTCGACTTTGACGTTATAATTTTATAATAGTCATTAAATCATAACGCGTTGCAATTGAATACAAAGGAATAGTATGGTCGCATATTATTATTATCAAACTGTTTGGGAGTTGCCGATCGAATGGTACAAAAAAAAACCCCCTCGCACATATAATATCACGATATCTTATACAGCCAGCAAAGTTTTGTCCCTCGGATGAATGTTTCTCAAGACACTGTAACAACCACAAAGTTTCTTCGCGTCATATAGACTCCCCCGGAGAATATTTATGTTCAGACCTTTTGGTTACTGTTGTTTCGGGTTATTTGTGATCTTTCGTTACGATTTATAAACCTCCGTTGGCCCGGGGGACCTTTAAATTGTTTTGTTTAATGCCGTTTGCAAAACATTGAAAAATACAATTGATAATATTATATAATGTCGGCGCATTACTTTTTTTCCCCGAGTCCTTTTCGTTATTAACTTCTATTATTACAGCAGAAATGTTTATGTGAAAAACCGCTGAATTCGGCGAAATACAAAAATAACTTTGTCAATATTTTAAAAAATTCGAAATGATATTATTTTAAGATTTCTTTTTCTACATAATATAGTACGACGTTGTGTGCATATACTTACCTAATAACTGTTTTACTTTGGAAAACTCCCATTTTACACCACCAGATCTGCTGTAATATATGTGAACGTATTGCACGTCTTAGCGAGTGCACTCGAAAACGTAATCAAAACTTGTGTTTAGTTTTCGAAACTTTTTATATGAGCTTACTAAGTAAACTTGCATCGTGCTATTTACAATGTTTTTTTTTTCAAAACCAGTACTGTTGATAGAATACTGAATACTTGCTGAGTCAACATATTAGAGTTTTCATACGAGTAGAGGAATAGGGGAATTTCAATTGATGCGCCACCTGATTTTACTCAAAATATAATTTAAGAAAGAGTTTACAGCAATCACATTAATGTATCACCCAAATGGTTCATTGCAGATATCTGAGTCGAACGACCACAAAGTCACGCTGACCAATCTCCCACGCGAAATGTCTGGCCACTACAAGTGTGAAGTGTCAGCCGACGGACCGCTGTTTCATACACAAATCAAAGAGTCCTACATTACCATCATCGGTGAGTGTTATTAAAATACATATTATATGTTAAATATACTCTTTCCCTCACAGCACAAACACTTTCTCGGGCAGTTTATGTTATAGAACCACCCATCAGGAAATTGCGACTGATAACTAAAGTATTACCAGAGTAGATTCTAAGGCCTAGTTTGGTCGCCTATGAGGAGGATTACCTTACACACTCGGCCACAGAATAAACAAAGGGGAATCTTAGAGTTTTTCAAAAATCGGTCAGACATATTGGGATTTAATGAGTGATGTCAGAACTCAGATATTTCCTTTTTTTTAATTTTTCTGTAATATATTTTCTGTTTTTTCTGTGATCCGGCTACTCGTCGCCCATTTAATGCATTCTCTGAACGGTGTACGACTTGCGATAAAGTACTTAACGGTAGATTGTGCTGTTAGGGGTTGGATATGTTTTACATCCAAGATTCGTTTTACAGTCCAGTTATTTTTTTATTTTTTTTTCAAATCACAGAAGAACCAAAATCTCCGCCAATCGTGTTTGCCGGCAAGCTCAAGTACAGCAAAGGCGAACCGGTCGTGATCAACTGCACGTCGTACTCGGCTTTTCCGGCCACCAACCTCACGTGGTACATCAACGATATCAAAGTAAGTGTAAACAACAGCCGCTTACAATAATATATTATACTACTCGAACACATTGCAGAGTGTTTAATATTCTCTGATGACACTCGTTTCTCCACGCGGAAACGACACGTTGTGGTACTCGTACTTGTTCCTATTGTGTTTTTTTTTTTTTTTTAAAGCTCCTCTTAAATTTCACTGCAATTGAAAGGGTTTGCCGTCGTGGGTTTTGAGTCAAGGATCAGGAAACGAACAAACAAACATAACGTTCGAGCGGTTTGTTATTAAAACGACGGCGGGGCTCTTATATTACTATTTGAGCGCTTCCTCTCTTATAAATAATGCGCATTGTGTGATTTACCTATATATATATATGAAACGGATTTACCCGTTTCTGTTTCACTGAATACGATTTGATATTAATACGGTTCCATTAATATTTACAAAAATGCGCACCTAAACGGTATCGTCGTATTTCAATATATATATGTACACCTCTCCTTTGAGTACATGTTTACCCAATCGATATTATCCCACAAGTCGGACCCGCTTTGTCTACATTAGAGCATATATCATTGTCTTCATCTTCAGCTTCGGTTGTTACCATGAAATCCAAATTATTTCCTCCTAGCACGCGACAGTTCAAACGTATGGGGCTTAAATCGTATTCGGATGATATTTAAACAGATTATACTTACTTTACACAACGTGTTACAAAGAACAATTGGACGATTGGTAGGAAATAGTTGTTGGCTTTTTAAGCTACATACACGTCATAGTTATTTAAATAGGTGATTTACTGATTGGAAAACTGATAAATAAAATAAAATGAACATGTTAGCGTATGATGAAAATTGAATAATAGAAATTTTCTAGTGATGTTTAGATAGCGAATTAGGTGACATAAAAGGACATATTGTGAATGACTAATACAATCATGCAGTACAATATATTAAACACACGAGTGTAAATTAAGAGTACAAACTATTAAATATCAATTTTTTTATTTTAAAAACCCTTACAAAATATAAAAGAAACCTTTGTTTCAATTATATTTTGTAGATTTGTTAGTCGTTAATTAGTTTCTATTAAAACAATATAATAATAAAAAAACGGCACGATTGCCGTGAGATCGGATGATATAAACTAGATACTTTTTCAAACAGTATAAATTAAAAATTATTAAGCTTAGCTTTATTCTTAATGTATTTCCAAGTAATTTAACTAAATCTAATAGCTGTATGAGTAGACACTTGAAAAGATTTATGTTACATTACAGTAAAAGAGTTACTTGCGGAGACAGTATAGATGTACAGTAGTCTTAATATAATAAAGCCAATTAAAACGCAGTACCAATAAGCCAAACACAAAACAAATTAAAAAGGAATACACTATGGAGATTAAATATTCATATCTTATGACAGGAAAGCAGATCTTACAGATTTCCTTATATTGGTTGTAATAGTCGTCCGTTAATCAAAAATCTTATGATAAGTTATTTCAGAGGACTCGGATAACTTTTCAAGAGGTCTTCTAATAATATCGACTTAATTTTTTTCTCCGTGATATTTAATCTTCTTACTGTGGAATCAATCGTCCAAACCACGTTCAACTTTCTCCCCGATTATCGTGCTCCAGCGTAATCCTTTATCCGATTTGTCCAAAAGCCTCCTAGATTTCTGGTTAGTTTTTTTTTCTATTTTTCTTCGATATTATTAGCGTGAAACACTCACTTTCACCCCAACCGGTGCTCAGTGACGTTTTGGGGGGGGCCATTGGGAAACTTGTGTCGCCTCTTCAGTACCTACATACCTATCTACTCTACACTCCATTGTTGTCGATCCGTTTGTGTCCTGACAACGGTAGCGCACACTTCAATGACGGATCTGCTTTATATCGTAGGTGACGAGCCAAACGAAATACTCCAAGATCGTGTCCTGGATCGTCCCGGAACCTGGCGGCATGGAGACCAGTAAATCTAGACTGGAGATCAAAGCTCGGCCGACGCTGTTCCCGAATGGCCGCATGCTCGTGCGATGCGAATCGAGTCAGTTCGCGTTGTACAAAAAGTATACGGTCACCGAACTCGCCGAAGATTCGCCCAAACTAGCGCAAATGATGAGCCCGTCGACCGTTCTAGGTAACGTACAGCTATTATTGTACCTAATTGGTAATTTACAACTGTACCTATGCATAGACATACTTAAAGCTAGTACACGTGATCAACAATAGATAACCTTCATCGGTTATGCGTATGAACAAAAAAAAACCGTAAAGAAACCCCATTATAGATCTCATCGTATCGAATAAAGCTCTTGAGACACGTCACGTTTGAAACAATCGAATTCCATTTGATGGTCGTTTTTTTATTGGTATTCTTTTTTTTGTTTTTTTTTTAGGAGGATCCCGAGCGAATTCAGCCAACAAGTTTGTCACCAACGTCGTATTCGCGTTGGTAGCCTGTTTGGCCAGCCGGATAGCGTCGTCTCTTTTTAGATAGCTTTAAAACACCATCAACAATATTATTATGACGACGATTACGATTGATACAATTTTACCATTATACGCAATAGCTAGACCCTAAAAAATGTATAATAACTACTAATGTTTGTTTTCCCTCATACCTATTAAGTAAAACTACTGTGTGACACGAAAACCCCTATTTCATACCGATACTGTATGTTGTGTTGAGTCTAGTCTTGAACGCATTGCAGTACTTACCGAAGTCTACGTTTCCGCACTTGGTGTAATATTGTCTTATTAGTAGAGTATAATATTATCATTTTGCTGATACTATTATTAGTTATTATAATATTTAGGTGTTATTATTTCAATAATATTCTAATATTGTATATTTTATGTTTACTGCTGAAATAAAACCCATGTATTGATGTTTTCTAACATGTTGTCTATTGTTTTTCAAACTACAATAATTCCCCCCCAAAAAAAACTTGTAGCTCGACTAATAACAATTATGATGAAAACTAATGAGTGCTTCCAAAGGTGAAGACGACGGCAGTTCGACACGAGCTGTCGATATGGCGCTAAACGATGGTTTGTCGAAGAGTCATTTTCTTACCGTTTCCTCTTCCATCCTCGGAACATCCGAAGGGGAAAGGCCATCATCCTGAATGGATTTTTGACAATAACGTATAGAGAATGTTGTGTAGAGTGCAGTGGTGGCAAGTAAATGATAATTAATCGTATTTAAACGGCGAAATTCGTAAGAAGTTGAACAGTGATATCCAAGTAGAACCAACTTGAAACGACAAAATGAAAAAAACATCGGGTTGATCGGAATTTTTACAACAATACTGGTGAAAGTATTACCTTATAATTATTATCAAAACATTTATTGTTAACTATTAAAGTTAGAATGATTAAGTTTATTTACTACGAAACTATAACACTTTTTAGGAAAATATGTTGTTTTTTTCTGGATATTTCGAAACCCAACATCTATTACGTTTTGTTCGAGTTTCAATCTTTCTACCATTCGAAAAAATATATATTTGTGTAACCTTCTAGGAAAATAAATCAATTGAACGCGGACAAAGGGCAGTTGGGCACTGCAACAGAAATGTAGTAAACCTATTACTGAGTCTTTCATTTGATTAAGTTTCGAATGCTTTTGCTTCATCGCCGCGTTAACGATTATATTTCCTATCCCAGATGGGCTCGGGTAGAGTTTTTGATTTGGTGGATTGAAATTAAAGTTGCTTGCCAACCGAATGCTGACCAAACAAATAAGAAACTCGTGAGTAACTCGGCGTTTATATATTTTTCTCTCTCTAAACGTACGCACTTTGATTTCGCCGTCTCGCAACACTCTAGCGCTTATGGTAGATAAAAAGTTATAATATCTGATAAAATAATATATTTCAAGTGTGAAAAAATAGTACCAATAAAATATGTTTAAAAAAAAAAAATAATAATAATTGAACAACTTGTTCGGCCGTCAAATAAATTGTATTATTATTACATAAACGCGTTTCAATTGGCGTTAGTTTAATATAACTGCGAGTATTGATGTAATTTAGTTGCTTAAATACGCTGTTCGATACACGGTAACCGGTATTTTATTTGTAATGCAATAATATCCACACAGGATAATATTATTAACGGAGATCATAAAATGCAAATGAAAAATGTGTTTTTATACACACACAACCGCGTGGGATGGAAAAATGAATATTCGGTTGGCCGTATAAACATTTTAGTGCGCAATTTGATGTGCACAGCTTTAGCCGGATAAAGAAGTTTGCCAAGCACAAAATGTTTAATGCCGTTTTCGAGCAAAAAGATGCTCTATCGCCGTAATGGATAATATTCCGAATTCGGAAATTTGTTCGATTTAATATTTGTCGCAATTTATTATTTTTATCGTACATGATTCCTTCCGTTCGACTTTGTTTCAGTCCATTTAATAGGTTCGGATACGGCCAGTAAGTTGTGTATTTGCTTTACAAGTCAATTGCATAATATGCACGCCAATGTTGGATGGAAATTACTCTGCGCCAATTTGATATTGAAGTATATGTTTTTGTATTGATTTTGAGTCATGTTTGAGCGTTACAGCAACGACGGTCCTCGATTGTAAATGTTTGTCTATAAATTACAGCGAAAATACAGTTGATTTCCCGTTCACACTGTTTCGACAAAAAATTTCAACAAAAAGCTTTGGGAAATTGTAGTCGTTGCAACGGCATAATTATTATTATTCTCGGCGATCGTCTATTTGGTTTGTAGTACTCAAGTACATATTTGCTCCTGTGCACTGCGTTGAAACATTTTCACTTGACGGGCAATTAATTATCATTATATTGTTATATGTCATTGTCACAACTACAAACTATATACCTATATGCGTGTGTGTTTAAACAGTCTCATGCCTCATAAACACTGTATTACAATGTCTGTGTTATATAAACTATGTAAAGAACATAATAATATAATAACATATTATCGACAGCAAAACACAAGAATTTTCAAAATGTTTAATTAAACACTCTACATAACCGAATTCCGACCGACGTGAAATAATTTATTCAACGGCTTTATAAATAGGCAATTTAGCTACACTCGTGTCGTGTGCAATATAAAACGCAATAATTCATAGTAATATTTTAATAATAATACTATGTAAATCGGTTAGTCCCGTAGGCGATGTTTTTATCATAAAACATGCAACAGGCGATCCGAGTGTAATATGAGATAGTGATGCGATTAATTATTGATAATAGACTATTCTTCACAATGTAAGCTGTCTTGTTAGAGAAGTAACGACAGCCGATGACGATAATATTTTGTCTTGAGCAGTGATGAAATTTTTCAAATACGATTACTCACGGGTGTCCGGTTAATCAGCAACGGTTCATTAGCATGGGACAATGTAATTACACGTTTAGTATCAGTTTGGAGTTCGGGCATCATCCATATTTACAACAGCGCACAAAAACAATAACCGTTTATTAGATAACGTGCGATTAGTAGTTGGCTAAATAATGTTAAATTCGTATGGCTCTATTTTTCAAACCATCCCCTTGTTCCCCCCCCCTTGAGTGTTATATGTAATCGTTGTTATCACTTATCGAACACGAACAATGCTTTGTGCGATTTGATCGAGGGCGGGACAACAATAGGGCCGAATAATAGCATTGTGTGTAATGTCTTTAGAGGGTTCACACGTGGTATCGCGTACCTATTATAATAATATTGCGCACATCAAAATAACATATTCAAACATTACTGATCGAGATAGAGGTCTATATGGCGTTAATTTAGTAGGTACCAGCGTAGTATATAGCCGTTAACGAGATCACTATTATTGCAGCGTGTACCCACACTCAATGTACGCATTATTTATGTTAAATGAGCTATTGTAAAACTATATTACCCAAATGTATTTCTTAAAAAAAAAACCGTTTATTAAGATACAAAAAAAAGTGAGAACATAATAATATAAACTTGTTTATATTTTCAATCTATAAAAATAACTTTATTAAAGTTGATTTAAACGAGATTATACAAAATAAGTTTGACGTACCTACTCACATGAGTTATATACAGTTGTAAGTATGTACAACTAATATAATTCTTCCTGAAAAGTAATTAACATTAAAACGTATTACCAATAATAATTATTTAAATATGTATGTTTAACCTTTGAGCAAAACTATTTTATTGGATGTCAGCTATTAATAATTATTGATCAACGAAAAAGTGAATAATCAACATTTATATAAAATTGTGCATGCACGATCCGTTACGATTCGCAGCTTCATCGTTGCGTTTAAATTGCAGTTTATATTTATTTTAAAATATAATTCAGGTATGACGTTTAAATACAAACGGGCAGGCCATTGTCGAATTAACACCGACAATAGTTCCACAATGAAATAAAATTAAAAAAAGTTTTAGAAAGCATTAAAATATTTTCCATGATAAACAAAAAGTATTGTAAGTTTTAAGTCGTATGCTCTAAACTTTTAAAAACCCACGGAAGTTACCTACAAAATATGTTCAAAGTACAAATCCATTAAAACGAAACTTTATTTTGCGTCACATTAATTTATGCGCAATGATTATTTATAGCGGTAATAATTTTGTATTTAAACTCCTACTAATCGAGTTTTTCTTTTGAGGAATGATTTTGGATAAATTTATAACACAAAAAATGGATATCCTAATTGATTCGGTTAAATAATATTTCTATGCTTATACACTATTGGTTTTTATAGTTAATTTATCTTAAGCTGTGTTACTAAGTGTGTAACTAAACTTTTTATTCGATATTTTTAATTCTAAACAAACTGTCCTAACTGCCAAACGCATTTATATATATATATATATATATATATATGTACAATTGACTATACATAAAATTATGATCCGTTAGTTCATGTTAATATAATAAACCATCAAATTTTATTCCATATATGTATATGTATTTTATAGTGTATATTTTCTAGACACTATTTATTTTATTAGCATATAAAATCAAACCGTTGCCGGCGTTAGACCTGGTAAGTCGGCCGTAAAACCACAAAAGTCAATCCGTAAGCTTTTTCTCCGTCTCGGAAACATCACCTAATCGGATAATCCGTTAAAAAGCATCCAATAATAAAAATATATATTAAAAAAAATAAAATCTGTAAAAATAATATAAAGTAAAAGATTTTATTATCTATTTCAGGCCGATCCTTTCGACCCATTTTATGCGCTTACTAACCAAATAAGTTTAAATTAAAAGACATTATCCAAAACAGACTATCGATCAGTCATAATTTTTAATCAATATATCCTTCGTTTGTGGTAGTCTATAAAAAAAAAAGATAGATAGATAGTATTAAATTACTAACGAGACAATTGCTTGATCATAATCAATTAATTGATTTGCATAAAATATATTTTTCATTTTTTTTTTTTTTTTTTTACAGGGATTTATGTTTGCATTGTTTAACGAAAAATAATTGTTTGTAATCGGAATGATGTTGATTATTTCTATTTAACTATACATAACTATTAAAAAAAATTGGTTTTGGTTTTTTTTAATGACGGCTATTTTGCCTGATGATACTCACGCGTCATGTTTAATACAAACGTGCAAACACTTAGTGGTGGAAAAAATACAAACGGCTTGCTGCAATAATTTGAATAACCGAGTTCAGTCAACTAAAACAACGTTGGAAGACGAATGCCGACTTGGCCGTCGGTGCAAAGAAACGATATGGGATTACTCGGTTAGCAGTCCGAAACGCGACCAGGAGGAAAATTGTATTATGATAATAATATTTTAATGTATTTTAGAGCTTTACTCATCTTATAATACACATATCGAGTCTTGAGTTAAATATACACGGGTAATGCGATTATT